GTTTGAAATATGTATATGTGTGTGGGACACTGGGATCTTGGGGTTAATCAAACAAAAAAAAGGAAAGAAAGAAAAAAAAAAGGAAGTGGAAAACGACTACTAATTGGATTATGTTGAAATTTGCAGAAAAATGGATTGAAAAGTTAAGAAGAAAATTAAAAATGAAATGTGTTGAAAAATTATGTTTTAAAATAATAAAATCCCAAACAGTTCCAAGGAGAATTGAGCCCAAACTTAACTGGACAGAATTCAGTAAGATTGAGCAAAACCAAGACTACCTATCCTTTTATATAGAGCAGGACAATATATAAGCTGGAGGTTTGAACAACTCGAAGAGTGCCCATATTACTGCTACTGGAATTCACATTGTTTGCTGAGATCTCCTGATCAGGGTGTTGTGCTGGCCCTGAAGAGCAGAACTTCAAAATTTAAGTTCCAAAAGTGGATCCCAGTGTCATTTCATTATAACAATAAGTTGGAAGGGTTAAAACTGCTGTATAGAACAAACCATATATAGACCAAATTGTTGTTGCACTTTTAACCAGAGTTGATTCATTACTCCAAAGAATCTTTTTTTATGTAGCTCCTTGCTATTAATCTATTCTTCACTTCAGTTTACTTCATCTGTGATTTTCTTACTCTCTGAGATCAAAAACATATGGCAGGGAAGTGAAAGATTGTTAAAGAGACAAACGGCAGCTAGATTGAGTGGAACTGTTCATCAGCACGATACCATCAGAAAATTGGCAACACATTAGTGAGGAGTCAGCTAGATAACTATGGTGGTCTAAAGGAACCTGAAGACCAATGCTTGGGACAGGGTTACGTGTGTATGTGTGTCTCTGTGTGTGTATGTGCATGTATAATAGATGAGATAAAATAAAATAATTGACCAATTATAACAGTATATTGTAATAAAAGTTATGAATAGAAGATTCATTCTTACTGTATATCTTAAATCAATATATGAATTTTTTTTTCTTTGATAATTTGTCATATTTCATTAAATCCTTGGAAATATGTACATGAGCAAAAGGCTGTTTGGTTTAATGGGCTTAGTTTGAAGAATTTGGGATCAGTTCATTTAACAATTATTCCATTTATGGTTGGATAAATAATTAGCCACTAAGATAGGAATACAAGAATATAATTAGAAATTATATTCCTGTATTCCTATCTTAGTTGCTAATTATAACTACAGTGTTCTCTCTCTCTCTCTCTCTCTCTCTCTCTCTCTCTCTTTCGGTTCAGGTTTTAAAGGTGATATCAAATGTTATTGTGATAAAAGTATACAAATACCATATGTTCGTGCAGTTTAGCTGGAATAGTGTGTAAAAGAAAAAAAATTCTAATGTAGAAAAATTTTCAATTAAAATGCTAACTTTTTAGGATGGCCTTTTTCGTTACATTAAAAAGTACAAAAATTGTATGGATCTATGAACATTATTATTCACAATATTTACTAATCTCATTGAGCCTTGAAGAGATTGAATAATTAATTTGTATTTGCATGGTTCTCATTGTCACGGTGATCTATTAGATCTACAAGATTCTTTTCTAAATCTTACTATTATTATACAATGATTTCTTTATTTGTTTATTTTATTTCTCTATGTATGCTTGAGATAGTGATATGACACATGATTTATATCTGTTGTATAGATAGAGCTGGTACTTGATGTATATTATACTGCATCCATTAATTTGACAATATATAATGAGTTCAATGCTTTATTGTTGAAGCTAAGAATCCTACTTTGAATATTGTATGGACAAGTTAAATACATTGTTTAGCAAAATTGTACACTGAAATATTTCATGGTGTGTGCATATGTATCATAAAATAGAAAAATCTTTTTTACAATAAAGTTATATTTAACTCGTATTTTTATAAAATATAAAAGATTTATTGAAATAAAACAAAATACATGTGAGGATTATTTATTTCTTTTTAACTTTTTCTTTTTCTATGTTTTAGTTTTTAAAAGATTTTTTTCTTTTGTATACATACTAGTATAGGTACCTCCTAAAATTATCTAAAAAAGAAAAAAGTGCATACCATGATGAAAAAGTCCTCAAATTTGATAAAAACAAAATTTTGTTAAAATGTTTATTATTATTAAGGAAAGACCAAAGGATTTTTTGATTATTTTATCAAATTTTTTAATCGTTTCTAGCATGTTTGAAATTTTGGTTAAACTTTTCTTTTTTTTTTTTTTTTGCATCAGTAGGTGAGAAAAGATTAGTATGTAAAATTTAGCATGTTTTTTTATGGTAAAAAACAAATTGTTTAAAAAATTCTTGCAAAAATCAAATAATTGTCAGATTTTGAGAAATTAAAATTTCAGCCTCTTCATATTTATATTAATTAAAAGCAGGATTCCTTGGAGAATTTAAATCATGAATTTCTTTTTGTCAAGAAAACACTATTTACCAAAAATCTGCTCTGAATCATAAAATGAAAAATGTGATAAAACCATGACATTATTTAATAAGAAAAAGCTTTTAAATACTTTTATAAATAAGATATATTAAGAGTACCATTGTTTTAAAATAATTTTTTGTTTCAACAAATAATGAATTTTTACAAGAATTGTTTTCATTTATTAAAAATTTTAATTAGAAAAATTTATTAAGTTCTAAATCTTTTAAAATTCTGTATTAATTTCCGCCTTGTAGATGATATTATTATGTGAAAATTATATTTACTAATCATATAAATGGAAATGCTTAATACAAAATCATCAAACACCAATATTTTAAAAAGAATTTTGAATTTTATTTTGTATGTGTATAAATGTGTTGATTTTTATAAGTACAGGCAAATATACACAACATTATCAGAAAATATGAGCAGTGACTATAGTAAATTCAAAGCTAGAATTTCTAAAATTCAATGAAACATTAGATTATGGAGAATAAAATTTGATAAAAAAGCGCTCGTCATTTTCTTCAATTATGTCTTATAGATAAAGTAGCTGTTTAGATCTGTCATCATGCTGTTAAACATGTCAGCACAGGTACTGTTGGGTTAAAAAAATGCATTTCTGCAATGTTTCAAATTTAAAGTAAATAATATTTGTTTCAAATCAGATTAATTATACTTTAAATCAGCTAATGTTCCTCAAATAAAGTTTCAGAAAAGTAAGTATCATGTTTTTTTTTTTTTTTTTTTGTGGAGGTCCGTATACTTGTTTATTTTTATATTATTCCTGTTTTTATTTTACTACTTAAATTGGGAATGTTCTCAATAATTCTTGAACCTGAGCCAAAATATTCATTCCATAGTTTCTTCAGCTGATCACCATTTAATTAGTATCAATTGTAACTTATATTTCTAAATTCAAAATCTTATATTTAGAGGATACACCTTTCTTCATTTTGGTTTAGTTAGAAAATATATTAGAAATTTATTGAAATTTCATTTCTGAGTATATTGTCAAACCACTTTCATTCATTCCCTGTAATTCTGAACAGCAACTAATATTCATTGCAAAATTCATTAATGGAGATAGTAATTATTTTTATTTTATTTTATGTTTTTAAACTTATAAAATTTGTTTTACTTACTTGCTTTGTGTAAGACTGTTTCTGAGTCTGATGTCCTTTGTCAGTGAATATACATGTCTGGGGCATTTATTTCATATTTGATATCACGTGTTTCTGAGATTTACACCAGTTGCTGAGTTTTTTCTTTATTTTAATTATCATAATTATCTATATCTCATTCTCTTTATATAATTTTTGATCAACTGTTCTTGTCTCTAAGTAAACTTTAATTATGGAGTCATTATCAATCTTAGAACTTCATATGGCTGATTTATGATTATGCATATGCTGAGATTTGGATATTTGGGGCAATGAGTTTTCTTTTTTCATTAATTCAGATAATGAAAATCTCTCACTGTTAAAGTCTAAAAGTAAATTTGGAGTATTTTGTTTAACAGGCTGTTTTTGAAGATTTTAAAGAATTGAAATTAGTTTTTATGCTTCAGTTTTTTTATGCAAATCTAATTTTGTCACAGTAAACTTTAGTCATATGAAGAAAAAAATTGAAATTTAAAATATCTGCACAAATTGCTTTGATTTCTTATTGTCTACAGTTACATTTATTGTATTTACAATCTTACTGGTCATTTCAGTAACTGACAGATCTTTTAAAGAGTGTCTTGTGTCTTTTGCATACCTACCTTAAAATATGTGGTGGAAAAATCCAGCACAATTTTTTTTTCCTCAATAGCAATAGATGGGTTCACTTATTGTTCAGTTTTGAACAGAAGTACTCTTGTTTTCTGTTTAGGATTGTTTCCATTTTCTTCTAAAATCTACTTTTGTACTCTTAACGTCTCTGCCTAAAATCTGAAATTTTATTTATTTTTTTCCTCAATAGGAGTAGATAGATTTGCTTTTTGAATATGAGTAAAGGTTTATCCATTGTTTCTTGCCTAGGATTGGGTTTCTGGTTCTTTCTAAAGTTTTCTCTTTCACTCTCACTAGCCCTTATTGACATTATCACCTTGCTTGTACTGTAGACCGGATCAGGTATCATAATTCCTTTTTATGAGTTTTTCATTTGTAAAATCTTGTTAAATTTATATTTTTTCTTAATGTTATACTTCTTTTGTAATAACATTAATATTATCCATCTTTGTTTTACTCATGAATCTATAACTGAGCCTCAATGAGTAAAAACAAAATGGATCCTGAAAAGAAATTGATATTTGAAATGTTGAAATATTAAACCATTTTCATCATACTTGTTTGAAAAGATCAAGTATTTTTTTTTTAGTTTTTAAAATATTATTTTCCTGCGACATGTGGGGGAAAAAATTATAAGTAGGATTAACTATATAATTTTTCATGCTTTTTTTGTTTGTTTTTGTTTTGTTTTTCACTTGCCTATTTTAACTGACTACCTCTTAAATACCAATTACCTCTCCCAATTTTTTTTGTTTTGTTTATGGGATTTTGTTATATAATTTTCTATATTTTCTTAATAGCCATCAGAATCTCCATCAGCCTCTCCCAAGAAATTTGGATTTGATGATAGCCTAATAATTCCAAGTTCCGATGGAGTAGTCCGGCGGCGGAATATACGCAAATCTAACACAGTTGCCTACAGAGCTGACCGCCCAAACAAATGGAAAAGAGCCTCCATTAATGGCCACATCTATAATTATGATGTAAGTATTTGTCATTTTCACCTGTATTAATGGACATTAATTTACTTGATGAAATGTCAAAAACAATTTGGTTTAATCAATGTAATGTTGATAGTTGGTCTAGTAATGTTAAATTTCTGACATTAACTTTTTTCTTAGTAGTAAATTATATCCCAAAAATAGTTATTTCCACTACACTTATTGAATATCCTATTATCTTTCATGGAAATTGCTGGTTAAAATAATTATATAATTTTAATTTGTATTGGTATACAATTTTATCCAGTTCTTGTATATGATTGGCAATGTCATTGATTGCTTATAATTGCGCCATAATTAAAAGTACATCGTAAATCTGTATGAATTAAGATTGGACATGAAAATCTGTCAAAAGAAAAAAAAGATAAATTTCAAAGAAATAAAATCAGTTTGTAGAGGAATAAATTTTGAAATTTGTAATTAGGAGTTACGCAAAAATAAAATTGTTTGTATTTAAAGATTCATTTATGCTTCATTAATCTTAAATAACATAGGATTTTCATGTTTTATATGATGTCCCAAAATGAATCTGAAGCTGAATATAATTTATGCAATTTGGGCACAATGTTAATCAATGAAGAAAAATTTTGAATTTTGGTTTCAAGAATTTGCATGTAAGGATTTCAGTTTAGAAAGGAGAGAAAAATCAGCAAAAACCACCAGTGAGGGAAATTTAAAGTCTGGTGAAAATAATTTTAAATTTCAGAACAATTTACAAACTTGAATGTATTAACTTAGGTACCTCCACAAAATCGCTAAAAAAGAGCATAGCTTGATGAAAAAGACGCCAAACTTACCAAAAACTAAATTTTATTGTCTAAATGCTTATGTTATTATTAAGAGGAAAGACCAAAGTTTTTTTTAATTATTTTTAAAAAATTTTCCTTCTTTTTAGAACATTCTAAATTTTGATTAAAAAAAACCTTTTTTTTATTTGTATCAATGGAACTAGTAAATAACATAGACAATTTTTAGCACGTTTTTTTGGTATGACACACATTAATTTGAAAAATCGTGCAAAAAAATAGAAATAATTATCGGATGTTAATGAAACTTTCAGGAACTATTCACAGATGATCGAAATTATTATAAATATGTTTTTTTTTTTGAAAGTCATGGTAGAAATATTTTTTTAAAATATTTATTATCCCCCATAACTAATTTTATGAAAACGCTAGAAATTGATCGCATCGGTTTTAGTGATTACAATAATTAAAAGCACAGGGCTTTGAGGAATGCAAATCATGTTTTTTTTTTTTTTAATTGGATCGCAGTACCTGAAAATTAGCTCTGAATACAAATACAAAACTCAATAAAACAAATATATTATTTAATTCCAAATATTTTTATTTGCTTTTATGAATATGGACAATATTTTCTGAAAACAAAAAAATTTTTCAATGAAAAATGAATTTTTAATACAATTATTTGTTATTTCATTAATTATAATAGATTTTACATTTAAGTTGTTAAAATATTATAAAATTAGTTAAAAAGCAACCACATCGGCTTTCATAAGTGTCCTTATGAGATAGATCTTTTTTTAGCGTTGTTGTAAATTGTATCATTTTGACTAATCAGAAGATACCCAGTAATTAAGAAATGTAATTTTGTGCTTATAATCGAGCTGTAATTATAAAATACGGAAGACCAACCAGAATATAATTAAGTTGCGTTTTGAGTTAAGCATTGTTCTCTGCTGTTAAAGGCCTTTACTTTTGCGAAACACGTGTGGAGAAGTTAATTTGATTTTTCAATTTCAACTGAGAAGGGTACCTACAAGTATCAGTATCATCTTATGAAATTTATATGATCTTATTTTTTATTAATCTCAGTTACGACATTTTTCCATAAATGAAATATCAAAATTAATAATAAAATGAATACAAATAACAGTAGAATGTAATAAATGTACATAAAATTATAGTATTTTATGTACAATTCTGATAAAATTTCATAAGAAAGGTACCTATAAATTAATTAGATACCTTTCTTAAGAAATATGAAATTTAATGTCACTTTTAACAGTTTTATTTTAATTTCTTTAGAATATATTTCCCATAAAGCATCATAAACGTAAAGGTGAAAGTTAAGTACAAAAAAAAAAAAAGACCGCTGAAAGTTTTTTTGGTTAAAAATAACGGGTAAATAATTTGTTCACGTAAATGTAAATTATTTCACTTTTCTCCTTCCTTCAGAGAACAAATTAGCCTCATGGAATTAAATGTAAATATATCATTCATCACATGTCAAGAGACGCGAAAGTTTATGACCTGCTTTGTTTTATTTTCAAATTACATCTTTTTGGCACAAAAGCTAAGTTAAGTTTGGTTCAAAATATTTTAAATAAACATTATAATTTCTGATTTTCTTAAAATAAGTTTTGAAAAAATGATAATTGATATTTTAAAAAATTGCAAAGTCAGATTTCCATTTTTTTTAAAATGGAAAAAAATGGTCAATTTTGCTGACTCAAAAAAAACTAGATTTTTAACGAAAATTTCGGACGTGCTAGGAACGATTAAAAAATGGAAAAAAATACCCCAAAAATACTTTGACCTTTCCTCTTAATAACAAACATTTAGACGATAAAATTTTGTTTTCGTCAAGTTTGGCGTCTTTTTCATCATGCTATGCTCTTTTTTTAGCGATCTCGTGGAGGTACCTATATTAACTGAACCCATTTTCAAATCATTTAAGAGAAATTGGTAAGTAGAAATGTTCAAAAATCAAATTTTAACTCAATGAGGAACATGTATAGAGGTCTTCATCAATCTTATTAAATAGTATGAAATTGATTATGAGAGTTGTTTCATAATGATGAAACATTAATTTGTTATTGTTATTGATAGCAGTCCTACAGCTCCCTAATATCTGTAGGTGTAGAATCTTACATGTATGTAGACCTCCCCACCATGTCCCATACATGCTCAGTTGGGTTCATATCAAGCAAATGTGGTGGCTATACCATTCATTGGAACTTTCTAGATTGCTTTTTAAACCAATTCTGACCAATTTGGGCCCAGTCATATATGGCATTATCCTGCTGTAATAACCCATCATTGTTGGAGTAAATGGAGTCCATGAACGTGTGCAAATGGTCAAGAAAGCAATGCATGCAATGTAGAGGTCAGTCAATCAGCAAACTGAACCTATACCACTTGAAAAACACTCACCATTATGGAATCCCCACCAAGCTGTATGGTGCCTTGTTGACAACAGAGGCCTATAGCTTCAAATGAACCATGCACTGATCATCCCCAAACTGGACCCTTGACTCATTGGACTTTGCCTTCGGGTTCAATTAGCAATGCCACAAGTCCAGACAAGGTGCTGTGCCTGATGTCATACTTGCTAACTGGCTCACCCTGGTGAGCCTTCTACTTCAATATAACATGGAAGCTAAAGAATGTTGAACTGATTTGTTGGCAATGCATCTGGTATTTCTTGCTCTAGCCAAATTACTCCGTTCCTGATCATTAAGGACTAGTTGACCACTGCACTGTCCATGATAGGCAGTAATGCTTTCCATCAGGTATTCAAGGTATACATGTAGATTGAGTGATGTCAAATGTCTCCACAATTTCAGAAATGGAATGCTCTATCCATCTGGCACCTATTATCATGCTCTGTGTGAAGTTTGAGCAGCCTTTCCCAGTGTTCACAATGGCTCACCAAATGTCAAGGTATAATGGATATGTGTGGACATTTACAAGATCTTTATACAATGCCATCTCATGACTTTTGGCACATCACTCTACTAATTTCTATCTGCAATCAAATAATACCCACCCCATTAAAGACATTAATCATTTTCAATACTTAGTGCCTTGACCAGTTAATTTCAAATATTAAGCATTTAACAAAGGCTAATTAGCAACATTAAGCGCTTTGTGAAGTGAACAAGTAATAATTCATATTTTGTTGAAATGCAAAAATATTTGAATAAACTAGGTTCTCCTTAAATACTGTTTTTCCAACTCTTTAGGTTGATTATACATATATTAGGAAAAAAGATTAAGATAATTTGTTTTTAAATTTAAACTTTTAATATTTTTTTTAACCAGTTTTACATGTAAATTATTATTAGCATTGTATAAGCAAAAAGAATTAACAATAAAGAAGGAATTAATTCTTAGTACTAAATGATTAAGTCACAGTGTAATAAGCAACTCTTTCATATTGGCTTAGATTAACTTTAGTGTATTTGCTTTGTTTTACATCTGTAGACTCGAGTGTTCACTCCAGTGATTGGTAGCTGTACTAGTGTCACTGTGAACAACTCTATGACCGTCCCACATGTGATTAGGACACTCCTTGAAAAATTCAAGGTTGGTATTTTCATTTCCTTTTCTTTCTTTGCTTTCTATAAAGTTTTTGTTATTGGCTGGCACTGTCGAAAAAAGTGGTCCTTGTTAAACATGTTTTTATTTTTAGTTTATTTAATTTTTTGTAAAAGGTGATTCATTCATTTTTTAAATTATGAGATGACCATTAATATATAAATATGAAATTTATTTTTTCTTAATGATACATTACTTAAAAATAAAATTAATTCTCAAAAATGTTCCAATAGTTAGGTATATTTATAATTAGGTACATGTTTAGATTGAGTTGAATTGCAAACCAATGAAAGTTTTATTGCATTTAATGATCTGAATTGCTTTAATGTAGTCTTTCTTTTTATTTTGTATAGTCTGTATTTTGTATTCATTAATTTTTTTTTTTAAATAAGCCAATTTTGTAGTAGCAATAGTTAAATCAATGCAATTACCAAAATCATAAAGGATATGTTAAAAAACGAAGCAAAATTGTTGATATTTCTTTAATCATGTGCTATATAGATTAAAATTAGATTTTCAATCAAGACTGACTGATTAAATATGACATTAGATTAAAATTTTATTAAGATTTTACATATGGTGGTTTACACTTTTAAATGAAAAGAGTTTGTATTTTTTTCAATGAGCTGTTTAGACAATGTAAAACAGAATTTAGCATTTTTATAATGGTAAAATTGCCGAGAGATAATTTTTCAAATGCTTTATAACTTAATAAGCTATAAAAAAAACTCATTAGCAATTGATATTCAAGATCTCTTAATTTTTAAGAAAATGATTGCTTTATTAAAAAAATATATTTATACAACTAATTTATCATTGTCACTGGGCACCAGATTATATTACAACATGCTATGTTTGTATCAGATGAATGTTTATGACCACGGTAGGAAATGACAAGAGCACAGATTAAAAACTCAACAAGAATATTTATGCAGCTCTGTTAGGTACAGGAATAACCTGTAATCAAAATATCATAATAAATCAGGCTTCAGTTCATTGGAGTAGTTGATGTCTTTCAGCAGATATATTACTTGAATTAGATATCTATGTAGTTTGATTCACTTGTCAGGAAAATCAATGGTTCAAGTCTATATATAAAACATGAAAACTTGCAGCTGATTTGGAAGCTTGAACAAATTTGGTTGTATGTGTAAATGTATTTACTAAACTTTTTGCTACCAAAGTATATTTTTAACCTGACCTGTGTCAGTTTCATGATAAATCAGTTAATATAGACAACAGAATGTCTAAAATAATACATATATAAATGTGTTAAAATATGTTTATAATTTAAACAAGTAAAATAATGATCTACAGTAGTGTCATTTAAAGTAAACTTCTATTGCACAAGGAGATTCTGCAATCTTGCAAAACAATCATAAGATAAGTTATCTTGTCTGTGGACATTTTTAGATATTCAATAGGGTTTATCAAATTCCTGACTTTGCATCTACATTTTTTTCCCCAGTAATAAAATTTGATTGCATTCTTCTTGCTGGAAACATGATGTATCTTGTTTTTATAATTTATTATTTCTTTTTATCTTAGCTTGTAAAAAGGCTTTAAGTGTTATGTTTATGTATTTGGTTGGTCAAAAGGTTTGTCCTGTTTTTGTCATTAGATAGCATTAAAAACATTTAATTTTAATTTCTTCACTTCAAAGAGATCACTTTTGATTCTCTTGTGACAACTGTGATATTAGTATGTATTTTTTTTAAAAAAAAAAATTATAACGTGTTTTTTTTTTTTTTTTTTTTTTTTTTTTAAAGGTTGAAATGAATCTTATATTTAAAGAAAAAGATTTGTGTAATATATAGAGAAGATACTGTAAATAATTGTCTATGTCAAAAGTGAATTGCAAGATTTCATTTTGGGGATTTATTATTGAACAGTGTCCCACAATTAAGGTTGATAGCAGTCAAAACCTGGCATTACTTGTGGATAATTAATTTTTTATGACATGGAAGATAGCTAACATATTCAAAATATCTAAATCCAGCATTGAAAAGCATTTATACCAGCTTGTTTATCTTGGTCACTTTAAAGTGTAGCTTCCACATGAGTTAAACAGAAAAAAATCTACTTGCATATGATTCATTGTTTTGATGTAGTGAAAATATTTCATTTTTAAAAAACAATGTGACAACAGACCAGAGATCATGAAGTGAAATGAAACCCAGTTAACAGTACCAAATGCTGAACTTTATTCAAAGAATGTGATACTGTGTCTATGCTGAAATTGGAACGGAGTTCTTTATGTGCAAATGATATGAACAAATATTTCTCTCAATTAAACAAAGTGAAAGCAGAGTATCTGTCTATATGAAATGAGGTATTGTAATTATTTACGCTATTTACATTGTTTGGGCTGTTGTCCTCTTTGTTGCCATATTCATGACGTTTTGGCCGTTGTATGATCTGGCCTTTTTCTTACAACATCAAGTAAAAGTCATGTAGTGACCCAGAGACATATGAACAAGAAATGGTCAGTATAAGCAGTTCCCCGTCCTCTTAAGATAAGGCTGCAAGAACACCATAAAGCTGTAACACAAAGGGAAATAGAAAAATTAGGTGTGGCTGACCACCTATAAAGAGGGAAAAAGGAGATCACCACCCACTGTGGGGTGAGTTTGGAATAAGACAGAGAACATCACTGGAAAATATGAAAACTTAAGGAATCAGCTTATATGTTAAGTTACAAAAATCTCCTAAGCTGTCCAAGCATAGAAATGAATACAATATGGGAACTAGTAATATGGAGTGTCAAAGAAAAACAATAGCAACCTCAAAATTGCAATATGAGCTCTAGTAAAAAATGTTTACTGAGACATGAAAAATTCATACACTGTTCTCAAGGACACATGACCCAGGGGATAAAAGCATTGGTTGGATCCAGTGACTTGACCCAGAGTTGTGAGTTCAATAAATGAGGTGAACTAAAAACTTAGTGTTAAGTTAAAGGAAGACAACTGATACTGAAACATCTGGAAGAGGCATGGTATGTGGAACTAGAACAACCTACCCCAGTTTACAAAATCAAGGCTGGAGCATAGAACAGCCAAAACATTGTCAATATGGCAACAAAGATGAGGACATGCCGAACAATCTAAATAGTGGAAATAAATTGAGAGCAGCAGTTGTTATTTTTATTAGTAAAGATTCATTTTGATAGTGCACATTTGGGTTACCATCTATTCTGAATTATCTTACTGAGAAAAAAAAAAGTTTCAATTCTAGAAGGCACAGAATAGTTCTTTGCTGAGCATGAAATTATAAAGTTGCCTTAAACATAGCATTTAACAGTAGAATAAGATGATAAATGTTTAATAATGTTCATATTAATAAAAAAAAAATTAATTTTTTTAAAGTTGATTGAACCATTTGGTTAACTCAATTCAAGAAACAATATTGAAGAAATTATGTTAAGATAGTAAGTTTACCAATTATGATACAATAGTCCTTTATGGAACAATAAGGAATGATGAAACTAAGTATGGGATGCAAGAAAATTTTAACATAATATTTTGGGGTACAAAAGTTTGTTTTGTACACTGAGAATTATACAATTTTTTTTTATTATTCTTATTTGGTCAATTTTCTTTGAACAGGTTGAGAATGATGCTGAAGAGTTTTCTCTGTATGTAGTTACAGAAGCTGAAGGTAAGTGATGTTTATATACAAGCGGATGCTTGTGTTCTTCTTTTAAATATCTATATTTTTTTTTTTAATCATTTCACCCCAAAGAAGACAATAAAGCCACTCTAACTTGATGTTAGAGAGTATGAGAAAAAAACATTATTAAAGAAAGAAAACAATAAAACAAGAATTAAGACAGAAGATAATGATTGGTATTATATTTAAATTTTTGAACATAAAAGTTGACTTAGAAGCTAGAAAAGAATTCAACAAGCAAGAAGTGCAATAGAAGAATGTTAGCATGGAACTTATAGTTACATCTAGTCTTTTAAACTGTAAAAGGATGAGATCTTGCTGCCAATCTAGTACTACATTTAAATTCATAAAGTCTAGGTGCCATAGTGGAAAGTTCTTCAGGACAATTACCATGAAAGTATTTATAGAAAAGTCACAGGGAAACTACATTTCAATAGTGGGAAAGTGAATGAAGCTGAGATGCCAGGTCATTAGCAATAACATTGCAGATTCTTTGGATTTTATCAAGAGTCTCTAAATATATAGCAGGCGCACCAGTTCAGACCAGATCAATATTCAATGCAAGGATGAATGATAAACTTTCCTAGCAGCAGACCTAGAAATTGACTCAATATAATCTTTCCACTTCATGTCAGCAGAAAATGTTAGTCCAAGAAGGGGCAATGAACTACTCTCCTGGATGTTAGCATCATTCATGCTGATGGAAAGTAAAATGGGTTTTCTCAGATGATTAAAGTAGAGAAGTTTTGTTTAGGAGGCATTAAAATCAACAAACCATTTTTTGCCCCAGTTAACAACAAAGTATAGAGCATTTTTGAAAGCAAACTTTACATGCTTTATATAATTTAAAAAAAACAAAACAAAAGAAACCACACATTTAGACAGAGATATTTTTATAATTGTTTTGTGATAAGTTTTGTATTAACCATAGCATATTCAGGAAAGATATTTTAACTTTCCATAATATGCTATGGTTGCTTTTGCTAGAAAATGGTCTCTCAATCTGGCTGTTCATTTTGTAATATACTAAACTAAATTTATTTTCCAGGTGAAAGAGAATTGCAAGACAATGATGTACCATTGTTGGAACGACTTTCTCTGGGTCCAGATGAAACTAATGCCAAAATTTTCATTAGAGAAAAGGATTTCCAAACATCTGTTGTTGTTGAAGAGCCAGAGAGTTTGGAAGAGAAAACATTAAATTTGCCAGCAGAGGTGAGGAAAAAAAAAAACTAAGTTAGAATTTGCTTTCATTTTCACTTCTATTTTTTAGACTTTCTTTTGCTTTTTGTTAGTAATTTCAAACAGATTTTAAGTAAAAATTGAAGATTTTAATGTCTACTTTTTTCTTGAGATAATTGTTTTCTGTAACATCTTTTTTGTTGCAATTATGTATTGAGAATTAAGTAATGCTTATATATTATTATAAACCATTATCTACTAATTATCTGTAATCCAGCTTGGTTTTTCTTTTCTCTCCATTATGTTGCATTTGCCATTAAACTTAGACTATATTATTTTTCATTGTTGCTTGAATAAACTTCAAACTATGAGTTCTGTTTATAAAAACAAACAATTGCAGGGAATTAGATGATTCTTTTGAATATACTTTAATTGTTTTAATTCATAATGTGCAGGTAGAGTAACAAATATCAGCATTGGAATTGGAAACCAAGTTTAATTCAGGCTAGTCAGTTGAGTTCACTTTCACACAAATGTCCTTGGGAAACAGCTGAATCCATCCCTTCCTTGAGCTATGGCTTAAATAAAAGTCTGGATTCTCTAGTCTTGGATGGCAACCAGTCTAAAAGAAGTAAAACTCTTAATTCCAAACCATGGAAAAGGCAATGGGAAACCACTATCTTTCCCAAGAATACATGGCAATTCAAAGAAATAGAATCTGAGGAGAGTCATGATCATTTACGTCCTGGTATTAACAAAAAATGTTTTAATTAGTATGTTAACAATTACAACTACATTTAATTTTGCTGGTTGATAAATATGCATTTGTCTATTTGAAATAATGCAAGTCAACAAATTTATATTTTTTAAAAAGTAATTTTCTATACTGAATTGTAGATGATAGTAACTCTTTCTTCCTGATAGTTTTATTCTTTCTTTATTCCAAACATATACCAGCTTTATTTTTTGTGGACTTATTATGCAAATGTATATTTTTGTGAATGATTTATATCCGTACTCTCATGTGATGAAATATGTTTTTTATAGTTCACTTCCAAAACAAAAATAGTGAATTTTATCAGCTAAGCAATAGTTTCTGCCTAATGTATTCAAAATAGCACTATAGTCAAAATAAAAGTATTGTCATTTTAGCTGTATAAGTCTGTTATCTGTATAAATCAAAAATATTCTTGGCAAGATACTTAAAGTGACACTGAAATTCATGTATAAACCTTTCTGAAAAGTATAAACTTATATCTGTAGCCTCTTAACTAAAATGTAGTTTTTACCAATTTTTCTAAGTCTATTAATGCATAATAAATTTTTCAAGTAATTTAGAAGTAAAATCAGCAATAACTTGAATATATCTGTTGATAGATACTTGAAAAGTATTCAGAATTGCTTCCAGGTTTAGTCCCAAAGTGAAGATATTATTCAAGAACAATAGAACATTAGCTTGACCAAGGCTCCAAAGAAATAAACAGGCAAAGAAAAATATTATCTTGTTTTATATTTACTTATGTAAATCAGAGATTGTATAGCATTAGGTGGAGGTGGGGGTTATGAAACCCTTTTCTCCCACAAATGATAATCTATTCATTTTATTCAATCTATTCTGTACCTTCTGTACATTGAAACAGTGATAGATTATAAACCGTTCAACTTTTTTTTATTCCATAGGAATGCTTCACTTGACAGTTTATTCGTAACATGGTTTCAAAGTCCCATAATTAAAACATTTGATTTTATGACTTTGTCTCAGTACAAATCTGTTACAAGTGAAGGAGTTTATTGATTTATTGCTGTTGTCTTGTCTGTGCAGAGAAAGTTGTGGATCTGGTTGGCTTGATGAGAGCCAGCCACTTTGAACAGTGTTGAAATTCTAACTCATAAAAATGACAAACTAAATCTTCATATGTCTTCATATAAGTTATCATGTATTTCTTGTTACAAGTGATGCAATTTATTGCTGTTCCCATGTCTGAAGACAAAACATTATGCTGTTACTTTGATCTCAGTTAGGCACCTTTTTTAAACAGTATTTAAAACAATTTTAAAATAAAAATTAAGAGAATGACATATTGAACGATATAAAAAATATGACAGAATCTAGAGTGGTATCTTCATTTACTCTGACTTTTTCCTGGTGGAGTCAAGACAAAGTTGACTTCATTAAGGTGATGCATCTTCATTAATTAAATTCTATATCTATTAACAAAAGCAAAGCCAAGAACCTCAAGTAACAACAACTGGGTATTTTCCTCACAAAACAATTATCAATAACTTCAATAAACTTTATTTACATGAACTTAGCTATTTTGACAAACTGCATTTCCTGTGCACATAGATAAATTTATTTTTTATTATTACATCATGACTATGAATTGTTCAGCTCTGTTTCATTATTTAAACAGCAGATAATGTGATTTTTTAATTTCTAAACAGTATCATGCATTTTACTCATCACCTGAATGAAAGCAAACTCTTAAACTCTAGCCTTTTTAAAACTGCATTTCCTTCTTTTTATTTTTTTATTACATTGACTATGAATTGTTCAGCTCTGTTTTTATTTAAACAGCAGATAATGTGATTTTTTAAACAGTTCATTTTTTCTTCACCTGAATGAAAGCAAACTTTTTTTTCTTCTTTTTTTTTTTCTTCTTTTTTTTTCTTCTCTTTTTTTTCTTTTTTTTCTTTTTTTTTTTTCTTCTCTTTTTTTTCTTCTCTTTTTTTCTTCTTTTTTTTTTCTTCTTTTTTTTTTTCTTTTTTTTTTCTTTTTTTTTTCTCTTTTTTTTTTTTCTTTTTTTTTCTTTTTTTTTTCTTCTTTTTTTTTTTCTTTTTTTTTTTTTTTTTTTTTTTTTTTTTTTTTTTTTTTCTTCTCTTTTTTTTTTTATATGTGCAATATAGCTTTCTTTTTCATAATCAGATCAGTTGTCTAAAAAAAAATACTACTTGCCTGTTTCATTTGGATAATTTCCATTCTGTTGTATATAATGAAATGAGAGAAAAGATAAGAAGGAAGCAAGAGTTGAAGATCCTGTTACAAATTAACCAGTACAGATCCTCTTAAGTAAAAATAATTAAGATCTCATTATTGCTTTTGAGACAGGTTTCTTACTAAAGTGGTTAAAAGCATTCAATACTGATTGCTTTTTTTCTTTCTTTTAATCATTCATGTTTTCTGTATTTTTCTTTTGTCTGCCAGGCTCAACACACTTTGGATGCTGTAAAAAAAGGAACTTTTGAACTAAACATTGTTAGTAAACACCTGGAATTTGCACCTACTCTATGCTCAGTTCCTCACTTTAATGCTCTAGTTCATTACAAGACAGCAATATCAGAACTATAAAGAAGTTTCTTTCCTTTTTTTTTTTTTTCTTCATAGTTATTTTATCATTGAACAGTAGTATTTAATGTTTGATAACAGGTAAAACCCATTTTTAAAATGCAGACACAATATGTGATTTTTTTTTTTTTTGTAACAACATTCTGGAAATAAATCCATGATTTTGTGTTATGCATAGTTAATTTTAGTTATTTTAGTTCATTTCTTCCCTGCTTATAAAGATGCATTTAAGAATGCACCTTCTGTGTTGTTGACATTGATAATCTTGTTTTCATAAATGAAATAAAAACTTGACACATAAACTCTTTTTCATATTCCTTTCAGTTTGAGTCAGAAATTATGAAAGGATATTCTTGTTAAATCTGAATTCCCTCAGATACATCCAGAACTATTTCCTTTTTTTACTTATGGATCCAGAACTATTTCCTTTTTTTACTTATGGATCCAGAACTATTTTCTTTTTAAATAAGTTCCAGAGGCAATATAAAGAAATGGTTCTGATTTCATTGTCTTAACCCATACAAGATGAATGATTCTGTAACACTTTCTATTTAAAAGTTCTTTTTATTTACAATACATTATTCCACTATTTAGTGTGCTTCTTACTACTCTAGGACTCTTAATTGGTGTTTATATTTGAAGAAATCATTTAAATTTGATGTCTTTCTGTTTCTATATTGCTGTCTTGATGTTTATTATTATTCTGACCTGGCTTGGGAATGTAGACATGCACACTAACCTAACTTTAAGCTTTAATTATCAACACCCAGTCAATTACCAGAATGTCAGATTGTCTAACTTTTTGTTCAGTTTGAACATACAGGCATTCAACTAATCCATTTATCAAGAATTTAAATGATCCATGGATAAAAACATATCTCCCATACATCATTTTTCACAAGACACTGTATCTGAACTGTCAGAGAAAATAATTTTCTTGGTGTAATTTCCATCATGTTCAGTCAGCTAAGGTATTGAATAATAGTAAATTTACTAAACTGAGTTTAGCCTGTCACAAAGCCATAATAATGATGCACTTTGATGACTAATAGCGAAAGTATTTTGTATCATGAAACTTTATTCTATGGAAATTAAGGCTCTTATCATTGCAAACACACACACACACACAAATTATGCAGCCATTGTTATAATTGTTATAATGAGCATTTGGTTATGAAGGAAAGGAACAAAAAAGGATTAAGATTTCAACAACATGTATTTGTCAAAATTTAGAGTATGTACTTAGTTGTATGAAAAGTGGAAAAAATAATTGTTCATATGCAGTTCTTTGTTGCTGTTGATCAGGAAAGCAATTGTGAGGCTGTTGTCAGTAGGGCCAGGAGTTGACCAATTTCTTGGGTTGGTTGACTGATGTCACATTTGGAGCCAGAGGATGTCCAGAGTGGATTATCTGTTGGTAGGCTTTGATGCACACCTTTCATTAAGGTTGAAATCAATATCTATGAGATGTGTGATGCCAAGATGTTGAAGCCAAACTGCCTGGTAAGGTAGGTTGGTGGGTTGATCGATCTAGGTCATGGTAGTGGGTTGATTGATGGTAATGCATGTTGGTTGCTGGGGTTACCGTGGTGACAACAAGGGATTAAGTGTATATAATGTAGATAATAGACATTTATCAAGCAGACAGTCTACATTGGATTCTGGTTGAATATTTCTGTTGGATTCTGGTCAAATGTGACAACAAAATAGTCATGGTGACAATAAGGGAAACTATTGTGCTGACGACAACACATCTGCATGTCAGCAGTGGTCCTTTCTCGCAACTGTGTTGGTCACTAAAAGGGGCTTTTAAGCAAATCTCATGGTCCCTGTTGTATTCATTTGCAAATCTCAACCATATAAATAGCAGTTGATACAGCTGGTGGCTAAACTAGTCCTGACATTGATGACTAAATTACTAGAGAAATAGTAGTGAATACTTTTAGCTAATTATAGCTTACAACATCTTTTTTCTGATGGGAATGTTTGTGATAGGCTATTGTATTTTATTGTGGGGACTTGTTTTATGGACCGGATGTGATGCTTGGAGCCCCTGCACAAAAACAACTTTTTTCATTTTGTGTTTTGCTTTCTTAACATTCATATCTGGCTGACATATAAAGTGAATTAGAAGGTGATCTAATTGCAGCAGAGTATAACATAATCTATTCCCAAAAGATGCAAATTTACAGAATATATTTTATCTTATCTGTAGAACAGTTTAATGCAAATATTAACTATTAAAAATTAGAGGAAGCATTACTATTAACTACTAAAGTAAATCTATAAATCTGTAGCCCAATGATAAAAAATATTTATTTCATACAAGAAATATTTATTTTTCAAGATAATCATCTTTTGTAGCCAATGCATTTAATTCAAATAGATCATACATTGAAGATTTCAAATCAAAATTCAGCCAATTACCATGTTATATCTTGCAAAACTTTGTAAACCCAGTCTCAAAATAATGAAAATAAGATGTTTCAATTTTAAAATATTGCATTCTTTTATTGTCTACAAAAATTTACTAGATAAGAAGTATGTATTAAACGTAGTTGAAAATTTGTATTTGCAAGATTTTCTTTTTTATCACTGCCTTGAATCTGATGTTACAGGACTTTTACACAGATTATTACTGAGTTGTCCAAATTGTTTTTATTTGTTTCAGATGATCTGTGGTAATGATTTTCTGGTGCAATCTTTCTTTTTATAACATTCTACAAATTCTATATCAGATTGAGGTTTAGTTAGTTAGACAGCTATTCCAAGAGCTTGATATCATAATCTTGAAACCATTTTGATATGTTTTAGCAGGTTATGGAGCATCATCCTCAATAAGAATGGTGTGATTACTTATCTGCATGAATGGTACTATTCTCATGCAGAATGGTTTTGGGATCGTGATATCCATCTCTTGAAATGGCTGCTCAACTCACCAAATCTCAATCTATGAGTTATGTGGAGTATTATGTAAAGAAAGGCTGTATCAATGAAAATCATTTGAAAAAGTAAAAAAACAATTTGGGTGCAAAATAATCTCTATGAAAGGCTTGCAGCAATGGGGAGTCAAGGTAGTCATTTAAAAAAAAAAATTTAAATACTTGTAAATACTTTTTTTTTTTTTTTCCAACTTAGGTTAATACATATTTTTTCTAGTAATTTTTTGCATACAATAAAAGAATGTTATATTTCTAAAATCGCCATAGTGACTTTCAAAAGGCTCCTAAATTAGATTTCATTTTTAGTAATGTGTTTAATCATTGTGAGAATGAGATTCATGTAAAAGTTTAACTTGAATGGTAATATTACATAGGCTATTAAATTTGCAGTATTATTTGGGGTGGGGGGATTTCTAATGAAAAAATGAATTCAGTCATCACACCAAATGTATAGCTCCACTTTTTATAAGTATAAAGTCTGTCAGAAATACTTAGAAAGTTTAGATTTTATATTAGAAATTTTATAACATTCTCACTTTGACTGAGCGTTGTTTTTCAAATTCACACTTGTTTCATTTTTTTTTTTTTTTTTTTTCATAATAATCTGTTTTTTCTAATTTGTATACTCTTTCAGCTCTTCAACCCTGTGTACTGCATGGATTGACTAAACTCTAATTTTTTTTTTCATTCAGGCTTTCAGAATTTAGCTTATAAAGTTCTACTTTTTATATTATATTTCTGTAATGATGAATTAAATTTGAGGATAAGTTTTAGAAATATGTAACGTTTTATATTGATAAATATCTGAAAAATTCAGGAAATGAAAAACTTATTCTTTGTATTATCATTACTTAATATTTCCCACTCTTTATATTAGTCATTGTATTGTTATTTACCAATCTTAGTTTAGTTTCACACTGAGTCACTATAGCAGAGCACCCAGCAAAGATTGAACTCCTTACATGAGTAAATTGGTTTGAAAGACAAGCTTACTAACTACCATTTTATTGTAAGTGCCCAAGTTATTTACATATCCCTGAAGTCTCACATGAGTTTATAGCTACTATGTAAACTATAGATTTTTAATGATTGCCCACTTTTAACTAATTTGATGGGTTTTACACGTATTAAAAATAATTCCCTGTTTGCCTGTTTAAGAAAAAAAAAATAGAAAACCAAAATAAGCTAAGTTTGCACCTGAGTAATTATGTGCCCTAAGATTCTCTAATTTGAAAATTCTGCCCTTGTTTGTTTTTACATTTGCCATATTAGTAAGGTTCAATCGTATAAAAATTTAGTTCACTTGACCTTGTGTACATTGATATGGATATAAATAAAGAGTAGATTAAAAGTATTTTTCAGAATAGTTTATATTCCTCTTTTAATAGGCCAGCTTCATAAAAGTAAGTAGTGTAAATATTATAAAAGGCAATTGCAAAAATTGAAACGGTTGACTAAATTTAACACTCTGCTTTGAAGATATACTTCTGATTCTACTTTGTGATGAAAACATTTATATTCATTATTACTTCAGTTAGTCAATTTTAATGTTAAAATAGAAGACATGTTTTTAAAATTATGGGAATAGGCATGTGTAATAGTTTCCACACATTTTATTAATACTATTCTCTAAAAGTATTCAGTAATCTTAATTGAGAAAATTCATGTTAAGTTATACATAATCAAAATAATTTTTATGCAACATTATCTAAATTAATTTTCAATTTGTAAAGCATTTAAGGATTTAAACCCATTACCAATTTTTTTCTCTTTTGTAATCAGGTATCCAAAATAACTGCATAAGATGGTTCTTTAGTACTTTTCTTTAACTTGCATTCTTGCTTTTTTCTTTGTAAGATATTTAGACCTTTTCCAGTACTGCTTCTAACTTTTTCTGGTATCTGCATGCTGCTTCAGTTTTTTTAACATCATTTCCCCTCCAAAGATTTTTTTACATAATTAGATTTAACAAAACATTTTGTTAAATATTTTTTGTTTTTGGTTTATATTTTTTTCTATGTTTTCATTAACTTGTTGAGTCATTATTTTTATTTTCAAACATTTTTGGATATTCGCTTAATTTTTCCATAATTACTTATATACGTTGTTCACTTCATAATTAGGCTTAAGATATCAATGTCTTTGAAATAAAGTACACTCATTTTATGACAGAATAAAGAGAAAATATTGATTATCTATTGAATCTTGCAGGATAATAATGTCATATATGGTAATGCATGCAAGTAAATAACAATTTGTGTAGATTGCATCTACAACACATGAGAATTAACGCATTCATTTTTTAAGTTTTATATAAAAGTACTTTTTTTTTTTTTTTTTAAAGCAAAACGGACTTTTACAAAAGTATTCTAAGAAAATTGCAATGTATTTTATGTTTCCTAGTTTTTATAACACTTGCTTCTGAAATGGATGCTACTTATTTTATATTTGCTGCTTTATGAATAGTATTTGTATGGGAGAATTGTTTTCCTTTCTCTACAATGCAAAAGAAATTTAGATAAATATATCTCAGTCATAGTCAAATAGATTCAGTTAAATAAATCACTTTTAAAGGCTCTATCTGATTTAATTGCTATTTTTTTAATGTGGGCTGGAAATTATTTGGTATAAAAGGTTAAATTCTTATCCAAGCCAGATTAGGAAAGAATTAAGAATTCTGCAGAATTTGCTGTCATTGTGATTCTATAGCTCAATTGTGAATGATAGAAATTTGTTACTATCATAAGCAGGAATTTTGGCTCTCTATTTGAAGTGATTGTTTAATTACAATCAGGATAGATTTGATATATTTCTCATTTTAATTCAATTAACACACTATAAATTTTACTTGTAACACTATCATTAATTTTTTGTACTAGCCATAATTTCTCTTAAAAACTGATACAAAGCATAAATAATTGTGAGAAACTGCAAAGTTATATTGTATATATGCAAATATATCTAGTTAATAAACATAATATCTTTTTGTTTGATTAGCTTACACTATTTTAATTTGTTCTCTGAATGATTTGGATCTTATGAATTAACATTAGTTGTTGCAAATTTCTTATTTTGTTTTCATTGCTTTTGAAACATGCCCAACAATATTGAATTTATATAGTTAGTTCTTTGACAAAAACAAAAATCCACTGAATTTGTAATTTTTAGTAATTGATAGTAAAAATGTGAATTCCTGTTTTGTTTTTTCTTTTTCTTTTCTTCTATTTACTTTTTTATTAAGGAAAATTAGTATGACTGGTAAAGCTTTTTATTATTTTTAATATTGAAAAAATTACTTTAAATAATTAAAATAGTTGTAAGCATGATATTTATGTACCAAACTGAATATTTGTATTTAAAATGATTGTATTGATTTATATTAATTACATTATTTTGTAATCTTTCACAGTATGTATAACAGTTATTTAATAAATTGTTCCAGGTTGAACAATTAATGGCTCTTCCTGATGGTGTACTGAAAGGTTTGCTTCAGAAATTCATGGATGATGAAGAAAAAGATGTACAAAAAATCAAAGATAAGTAAGTAAAGGTGGCACATTTTAGATTCTTGCCTTTTTTTTTTATTTTAATTTTAGCTTCAGAATTTAAAATTCTACCAATATTTTGTTTATTTTTATTTATAGTTTAAACATTTAGGTTTTAGATTTTATATATTATAGAATTTCTGGTTGCTTAACACAAAAAATGATGTTCAAGACAGAGTTATTGCTTTTTTAGAATTACAGGGTTCGATGAGTAAATTATCGCCAATTTACATTTTTAATTTTACACATACCATTGTTTTTGATTTTGTTGACTGCACAGTATAGTAGGGTCAGTCGGACACCGTCTGAGAAAAAGAGCACCATGACACAATTTACTCTGCCAGAAATTTAAAAACAGCATGCTGTACTGCTTGGCATTCATGCCAGAAGCTCCAAAACGAACATTTCCGAGTACTGGGTGTCAATCCAAGGACAGTGCAGAGGATTTGAGAACAGTTTGATGAGTCTAATGGTGATTATGAAGGTGTTTAGAGTGATCACTAGTGATGTCAATGTTATGCCTCCATTCATCTTCCACAGGGCCTCAGAAGCTTGCATCAAGTGCCTTGAGGTAGTGCAACCCTGGGTCAAGAGAGTAGCTGCTGGAAGACCCTGTGTCTGGCAACAGGACTCTCCACTATACCATACAAACAGAAGAACTCAATCATGGTTGTCAGACAATTTTTGTGATTACATCACCCCTTACATCTGGCCACCTAACTCCCCAGTCTGCAATCCCCTTGATTTATTATGTGTGGGGTGCAGTTGAATAGGCGACCAAGAAAACTCCTTGTAACACCAAAGATGAACCTGCAGCATTCACCAACTTAAACAAGGAGACCATCCAAAAAAGTTGCAGGAAATTCCAAAGTTGTCTGGAGGTTGTGATTGAAGCCAATAACAATTTTATTGAATAAATTTACTCTTTAGTATTTTAAAATATTTTTGTATAATTTTGGTAAATATATCTGTTAAAATAAGATGTCCGTGTTATTTTCATTTTTGTGTAATTTAGACAATTTATCCATCACACCCTATCTGCATGGCAAGAAATGTATTTAAGTTTGTTTTATTTTGATTTTAATTTTTCTCAAATGTCCCTAAAACTACATCACTAAATTAGCTTAGAATATTTTGACAATTGTTTATATACTACTACTATTTTATCAAATATTTTTATGCCATTGCAATATAAAATACTTATTTTTCAATAATTTTTTTTGAATGGTTTATCATTCTTTGATTTATTGAAATGATTATCCTTATGTTTCTTGCTAGATTAATGTGCACATTCTTCTGCTAGATTTTGAATCCAGTAACCATCATTATTTAGAAACAATGTTTTTTTTTCATTGCTTTTGTTGCATCGAGCTTCCATTTCCAACATTTTTTGAGAACTGCTTAACTTTGCAATTGAAATCCTCATTCTATGCAAACTGGCGATTAGAATAAAATTTTGTGTCCTTTGATTTAGACAATAACCCATGAGTATATTTTTAGGATTTTAAAACTAGTCTTTATAACACTATTATTGTGCTTAATCATGTAGTTTTATGTATTGTTTTCATTAGGTACCTCCACTAATTCAGTATAAATTTTTGATACCTAAGGTTTAAAATGAATTTTTAAAAATGAAAAAGCATTTGAAATAAACATTACTCACACAGTATAAAAAAAGTAATATACAAGCATTTCTTAATGATGTCCTCTTTTCCTTTCATCCTTTTTGACGTATCGATAAGTTCCGAGGTGATGACAGCTAGCATGGATGACCCAGAAGTGACATAAATTTATGAAATCTAAGTGAACGCTTTTTTTTTTTCCTTTTTAACTACATAGTAATTTTTTTACAAATTAACATATTTTCAGCAATTATCTAATATTTTATTGACTTTTAGTTACATTTGAAGATGCTTTATGAAAAAATAAAAAAAATTAAAGTACTATAATATTTTCTTAAATTAATTTTAAAATTTAATAACACAGGAAATTAAAGATAAGTAAGCAAGAAAATTAACACATTGGTCTGGAAATTTTTTTATAATAATTAAAATATTGTTTAATCATTAATAGTTAATAAACTTTAATTAACATTAGTTAAAAAAACATTTTTCTATTTTCTTCAATCCAAGCACGTGACCTTTTCATAATAATACCATGTTTAGGTTATCATAGATGAAGAAAGGGAACAATTAAAGTGAAAAAATAAAAAAATATTTTAAAGATTGAATAGTAAAACAAGGTTTATTAATTTTTCTTTTTTCAATTTTGGATCCATGAATTTCTTTACTTAATTACAATATCGCATACAGGAAATAAAGTAATACAAAATTTTAAATGATTCTTAAACTATTATATATTATAATTAAAATTTTTAAAAAATGAAAATTTCTTGTAAAAATTCATTATTCATCGAAAAAATTTTCTTCAGACAACATTGTCCTTAATATAATTTATTTATGAAAGCAATTAAAAGCTTTTCCAATTAAATAATGTCAGTTTGATTACATTTTTTTTTTTTTTTTTTTTTTTTAGTTTACTATTTGGAGTAGATTTTCAGCTAGAATAGTAAAAGTTTGAAAAAAAATATTAGATGATTTACATTCTCCAAGGAGTCCTACTTTTATCTAGTAAAATAAATTCTGGAAATAAAAAAGAATTTTGTGAAATTTCATGAAGTGGGTAATGTAGGTTAAAAAAAATTTCTTACCAAGATTTTCTAAAACAAAAAATTTCAAAATAATTTAATTCATTTGTGAATAAGTGCTGAAAGTTTCATTAAAATGCAACAATTATTTGATTTTTGCAAGAATTTCCAAATCAATATGATTTTACTGGAAAAAAAGTGCAAAAAAATAATTGTAATTATTACATCCACCAGTGACGTAAATAAAACAAGATTTTGAACCAAAATTTCAAACATGCTAGAAAGAATTAATAAATTTAAAAAAATAATCAAAAAATACTTTTGTCTTTCATCTTAATAATAACATAAACATTTTGATGATAAAACTTTGTTTTTATTAAGTTTGTGGCTATTTTCATTATGCTATGCTGTTTTTCTGTGAAAAAGTAGAGGTACCTAGTTTTAATTATATTATTTTAAGTACTGGCTTCCATGTTATATTTATTTTTGTCTTAATTTCTGGAATTATTAGAGTTACAATTATTTACATTTGGACTATTATCCTCATCTTTGTTGTTATTATCCCAACATTTCAGCCATTGTGCACTCTAGCTTTCTTCAGGTGCTTAGCAAAAATACCAAACAGAACACTGGTGAGTCAGTTGTCTGACAGAATCTGTGCATATTCTAGGCTGAGGGTCTCCTTAATAAGCCTAGCATAGAAATGAATACAATAAATAAAAAGAAATGGCAACGAGGCTTCAGCAGCAGTAGAAAATAGCCTAGTGGATTAAAGCATTGGTTTGTGAATTTGGTGACATAATAATTGTGACTTCAATCCTTGACCTGGATAGTGTAGACTTATTCAATGGAAATCTATTGAGCAAAAACTGAGTAACTGGATGAGTTATAGATAAGCACAAGTTATTCTTATACATGGACAGTGAAAACAATTTATCCCATGAAGGCCAGAGAGCACATCAGCTGAAGATTTTGTGATAAAAACAAAGTGTAGATAATATAAAACAAACCTTGTGATAACAATTGTAAATAATTTAAATAATACTTTATTTTGTTTAACAATATCATATGCTGTGCCTTTCAGATCGCATATTTTCATCTATGACTCTTTTTTCTTTTCTTTTTTCTTTTTTTCTTTTTTCTTTTTTCTTTCTTTTTTTCTTTTTTCTTTTTTCTTTTTTTTTCTTTTTCTTTTTCTTTTTTCTTTCTTTTTTTTTCTTTTCTTTTTTTTCTTTCTTTTTTTTCTTTTTTTTCTTTTTTTTTTTTTTTTTTTTTTTTTTCTTTTTTTTCTTTTCTTTTTTTTTTTTTTTTTTCTTTTCTTTTTTTTTCTCTTTTTTTCTTTTTTTTTTTTTTTTTTTCTTTCTCTTTTTCTTTTCTCTTTTTCTTTTTTTTTTTTTTTTTTTTTTTTTCTTTTTTTTTTTTTTTTTTTTCTTTTCTTTTTTCTTTTTTTTTTCTTTTCTTTTTTCTTTTCTCTTTTTTTTTTTTTTTTTTTTTTTTTTTAATTTTTATATTATTAAAATTCACATCTTAAAGATTAGGAAAATTATTTTTATAATTCTTAGAATATCCTTTTTCATTGACTCTGGATAACATTAGTTTACTTATCTTGTATAATAAATGTGAAAATGTGTGTGTGTCACAATTTTTCAATTAAATGGACACAACTCTCTGAAAAATTATTACATCTAGAGCCATGTTCAAAGATTCAGCCTGAAGACAAACATGAGAGAATCACAGATAACCTTGAAGCAGGAAGATTTGTTGCAGCTTAGCAATGGAACCATCAAAATGGAGATATTTCACTCCCAATGGTTGTGGAGTTTCAGTCTTGAGTATTAAAGATTTGTATTAACCATGTTTATCCAAATAAACACTATTTCATGGATTCAGACTGGCTTTGTGAGATCACCATATTAGCTCCCAAGAATCAAACTGTGGATAGCATCAACTGGAAACTTCTCCAAGAAATTTCAAAAGAAATCATGAGTATTTTTCCATTGACACTGTGGTTGAACAAAAGCAAGCAGTGGATTATCCAATAGTTTATTGAATCCTCCTGGAATGCCATCACACAAGCTGAAACTAAAAGAAAATGTGCCAGTTATGCTATTGAGAAATCTGGATCTGGAAAAGCTTTCTAATGGAATATGGTTAATTGTCAACTGTCTCATCTCTTGGAAATGGAGATCCTTACTGGTCAAGGAAAGGAGGAAAGAGTTTTAATAATCAAGAATCCCTTTAATTCTTCCAGATCTTCTTTTTGAGTTCAAAAGACTTCAGTTTCCAGTGAGAGTGAGCTATGCAATGTCAATCAATAAATCCCAAGAACAATCATTGAAAGTAACTGGACTTCATCTGATGGAACCTTGCTTTTCTCACGACCAGCTCTATGTTTGTTCAAGTTGTACTAACCCTGAATGGGAAAACTAAAAATGTTGTTTATCATGCAACTTTGCAATAAATTCCAAATAGATAAATTATATCATTGTTTTGATTAAAACTGTTAATTATTTGAAAAATATTGTTAAAGTTTAATAAAATTTAATATGTACTCAATGCATGAAGTGTCATTTTTGGGCCAAAGGCCCAATCAAGAGCCCTTTGCAGGAGCTAGCTTAAATGTCACCTGATAGGGCGGCTTTTAAGCTAGTTTTTATTATATAAAGTATGTTTACCATTTCAGTTTTTTTCTGCTTCTCAACCTTTATGCAATCTAAAAAAAAATATATTTTTATAAAAACTGTTAGAATTCCAATTGTCCATTATTCCAGTTGTCAAATGTATTTTTTCTTAAAAAGAAATATTTTTAAAACCAAAAATGACTTGTACTTAATTTATTTGGCAAATTCTTTGCAATATTTATTCAGTTTTAATTTAACAGAAAGAAGTTTTTTTGTATTATTTTATAGTGTTACCATTATGATTGAATTTATGCAATTAAACCAGATACTATTTGCTTTATTATGAAAAAAAGTACAAAAATGTTTGTAACTTTTTTTCCCAAACTCAACTTATATATTGTCACTTTTGAGCACAAATTTTAAAAATTACATTTTCTATGCTTCTTGTTCAGGTACTCAAAGATAAAGACTGTGCTGAACAATTACCTTTCTTTATCAGAAGAAACGACGACCAATGCAGCTGCAACAGAAAATTCAGTAACTACAGCACAGTGAAAGTAACTTATATGACTACAGACCTATGAAAGAAAAAAAAAACAAAAAAACTTTTAATCAAAAAAAATGTCACAAACTCTGCAAGTTTCACTGCTGCTGGGAGGGTGCAGAGGTGGTGACTTATTCTCAATGGATGGTTGTGACATGTTATTGATTAGTTGATGAACCCTCCATTTTGTCTTTGTTTTTGGACCCAAGCAGGTCACTACATTTGACTAGAAATCATCATCTCCATTTTGCTTGTCTTTTAACATACTTCACAATCATTTACTTGTCCATTCCAGATAAAACTGTAAAAGCTTTTGTTTGTGTTTACCCTCTCTCTTGTTCGTGTTTTCTTTGTTTCATTTTAACTTTATATATTTAAGTCCCTCCCTCATACATGCATACACATATACACACACTTCAATCTTAAATTGATAATCCATCTGTCAGCACATGAAGGAAGGTGGTGGAACTAATCTCTTAAAATTAAATTCCAACAAGCCAACCAGTTAAGATAAATATAAAAACATTTTTTTGTTCTTTTTAATAATTTCTGTTGTATTATAAACATTAACTTGATAAAATTGAACATTTCTTACTTTCTACTCTTATGCTTAAAAGAAATTTAATTTCACATATTTTCAAAAATATGTTGACAATTTTTTCTTTCTTTTTTTTTATTGTATTAAGAACAATGTTTGTAACAAAATTTATTGTGAAGCTGCTCCTACATAATTAGTAAATTTTGCTTAAATTGTGCTTGTTTGTTATTTTTATTACATAAAAAAAAACTAAATAAATCTATTTTTTTTTTTCTTTATCAAAGCAGAGTGGTAATTTTATATAATGTGTGATGATTTTGTTTTCCCACTTTTGGCATATTCTAAGGACAAAAATGACTTATCAATTCTCTGAGAAAAAACTTACACACTATCAAACAATATTTAAATCTAGCTGTGTCTTGGTTTAATTTGTCTTTCCATATTAGGAGATTAGTACCTCACCTTCCAACTCTCTTGACTGTTTGTGTACTTGTGAAACTAAAATCGTTGTTCAGTTCTCTCACTTAACAATAGGAAAAAAGCCTCCAAATAAGAATTTAAAGGAAAATTATTGCTCTTTTTAGTTATACAATACCAAACTACCAAAGTTGATATTTGGTAAGTGATAAAAAGACAATTACTTATTAAGTAATATCATTAAAATGTTCAAGCAGCTGTTCAAAATAGTTTTTCAGTAATAAAACTCTTGAGTAAATTTTAAATTACACTGTTCACAATAAGGGAAATAACCTAATATATTTAGACTTTATATACATTGCATTTAGATAAATATGATATAATATTGTATTTATTTTGTAATAGTTTGAGCAGTGGTCTTGTACCTGGCATTGTCCTTAGAAATTTCTCTCATGTAAAGCAATCCTATAATTTAAATGTTAACTCTTTTGAGCCTTGTTCCATTGTAATTGAAGCAGCTTACTTTTTTCAATATGCTGATATTCTATCTAATGGGATAAAAGTGACTCACCTGATTTTTTTTACTAAAAATATTTTTTGTCTATTGTTTTTGGGGTTAAAATAATTTTTAATCTTACTAATATAAAGACCCATTTCTGACCACCTAGAAAAAAAGTTTATTCACCCTAAGGTATTCTATTGATAATTATAAATTTGGATGTAAATGAAATTCAGGAAAAAACTCAGATATCGCATTCTGATGATTAAACTGGTAAATTTAAAGAGCTTTTGACAAAATATTGAAAACTATTTTACAGTACACTCAGAACAAGATTCTAGAGAATTCTAGAACAGCTTAAATTAAATCTAGAGTATTCCAGAATATTCCAGAAAGCCTCATACAGTATAAAAACAGCTTGAAATAGCCACTCAGAACCACTTAAAGGCATCTATTATTGCTCTCTCTAAAGCAGGCAAATCTATGAGAGAAATTGCAGAAATTGCTATAACTTCGCAATCAACTGTCTCTCGAGTGCTTAGGGCACATAATGATGCCACTCCTGCTCAAAGGAAGGAAACAAGGAGATAAAAGAAAAAGATTGATGATAGAACTGATAGGGTAATCAAGAGAAGTTGTGAAGAATAGTACTATAACTAGCCAAGAAATTGCAGCCAGTCTAAGCGAAGAGCAACAGTCCGTCGGTGGCTGTTAGAACAAGGCTACAAATCTCGTACACGAAGGTTTAAGCCGCTAATAACCAAAGCCAACAAAGCCAAGAGACTTGAATGGACTTACTATTACAAAAATTTCACCGTAGAAGACTGGAAGAATGTTCTCTTCTCCAATGAAACAAAAGTTGAGCTAAATTCAAAGGATAAGCGATCTAAAATTCAAAGAAGCTTTGAAAGCTCTTTGAATTTAGCAGTAAGTACTGTCAAGCATCTGTTCAGTATAATGTTCTGGGGACGCTTTTCTTTTCATGGAACTGGTTTCTTAAAACCTATTGAAAAGACCCTCAGGAATGAGCAGTACAAGAGAATTTTATAGTCTTGTCTGCTCCCTTCTGCTGAAACGGTGCAAATCGACCCCACCAAGCTCATTTTTATGCAGGATAATGCTCCCTGTCACAAATCAAAATTGATGAAGGAATACTTTGATGAGAAGCAGGTGAATGTTATGACATGGCCACCCCAAATCTCCTGACCTCAACCTCATAGAAAACTTATGGTGCATTATAAAGTACAGGCTCTCGAGAAAGCAGTTTAGCAACAAAGAGGATTTCATTGTGAATTTCATATTCGAATGGAATTCAATGCTTGGAGATGAGATTTGCCAGAACCTAATCAAGTCAATGCCAAAAAGGGTTGAAAAGGTTATTCAAAATAAAGGAGGACCCATAGATTATTAAATATTTCGAACTATATTACCTATTATAAATAAATTATACCTCTATTATTCTTTATTTAAAGCTGTTTGGTTATGTTTCTATTGATTACTAGTTGCAGGAAATAAGTGAGTCACTCTTTTTGCACAGTTTTTCCCTAAATCTCATTTATATCCAAAATTATAATTATCAATAGAATACCTTGGGGTGAGTAAAATTTTTTACTAGCTGGTCGGGAAAGGGGTCTTTATATTAGTAAGATTAAAAATTAGTTTGACCCCACAAACAATAAGCAAAAAAATTTTTAAATAAAAAAAAAATCAGGTGAGTCACTTTTATCCAACAGCACTGTATTTAAAAAATAGGTTTGAACTGAATATATTTTTCCCCTATGAGAATTTTTTTCATAAGGAAAGCTGAAATTATGCACATTTAACTTTTAAATTATTCTTGGAATAGCTGTTCTGTGCATGAGAGTGGGTATCTCACTCAATACTGTCAACACTAACTATTGAAAAGAGAAACATTTGTTTCTAGAGAGAAGAAACTAAGTTTAAATGAAAGGGAAGAAATGTGAAAGGTATTTTTGTGATAATATGCAAAAAAGGCTTTATTTAAAATTCATTATCAGCATTTGCATTGAGACTTTGTATTTTAAAATTATTCAAAGTAAAAGACAGAAAAAAACTTTCTGGAATATGAGATGAGTTGTAATAAATGATTTGCTGGTTAATTCACATTTTATAAAGATTTCTCTTTCTTAAATGATTTCTTATAAATGGAAAAAAAACAAAAATTTTACCAGAATTTCTTATAAGAAAATAAAATAGTAGCTTAACATTGTGCTTTAGACTTATAGAATGGGTTAAATTATAAAGAACTATTGGATATTTTCAGTATATACTAATATCCTTTTCAGATTTTAATGTACCAATATCCTCTTCAATGATATGGTCTGACATTTTGGTTGATAGCCAATGTATTAATATTTATGCTATTTGATCATTGCTATATATATATAATAAAATATACTTTGAAACTTAAAAGCATCATCATTTCTCAAAATGGCTCAAGTTTTTTTCTTAAGAGCGTAAATTTTGGCCTAAAAAAGTTTGCTTATATTTTTTTTTAGTCAGAATGTTTTTTAGAGTCAAAACTAAGAATTTGTAGTCTATAGGATGTAAATTAATATAATTTTCTTTTATCACTTTCTTTTCTTTCTATAATAAAGATTAAAGTGTCCCATTTCCCCAGTTGGATTCCATTTAAAAGGCAAGGGTGATGGTACCTACTTTAATTCTCAACTATTGTCAGTAGGCAGAGAACTGAAGAAAAAAAAAATTTCATTGTCCATATACTTCCATAGCTTGTATGTTCATTGCCTGAGTTCTATCCAAAAGATAAATCAATTGCAAGAATTATTGGTTGTAAAAATTACTCTTGCAATTCAGTGAATCTGTGTGTATGATCTTGAAATAAAACAGTTTTTTTTTTTTATAAAAGTTTTGTTGTTATTTAACACGTTAATATATGAAAAAATGCTAACATCTGTTTCTTTTCACTTCATACTTTGTTTAAAGGAATGAGAAATTATGTTACCAAAATTAGTTCATTATTTTTCATTATCTTATTTTATTATTATTGAAATCAATTTTTGACTGTGTGTGTAAAATAAAAAAAATATCTGGTGATGCAAATTCATATCACTATAAATAACCAGAAAATATATAATTACTGTATGGTCTGATAAAAATTCATTTTTATCTTCTTTTTTTTTATCATCATACATTAAAATTTGTAAGAGAAAAGAAATTGCGAAACAAGTTAAAAAAATAGTTATGAATTATACTAAGGATTAAGCAGATTTGATATTTGTTTTTATTTGAAGATAAGTTTTTTTATAAAGTGGATTTTTTTTTATCAATATGGATATTTTGAGAAAAATTAGTGTTTTGAGAATTTAAAATATACAAATTTCTTGTTTACAAATAGAAAATACAGTATTCATTAAAATTGTCTCTTAACATTAAAAAAGAGCTTAGATAAGCAAAGTGTATAAATAAAGTCTCTATTAGAAAAAGCATTTTTCTCCATCCCCAGTAGTTTTCTCTGCATACAGTTGTATTTAAGCTGTTAATTTTCACTGAAGTCA